CAGGCCCCGCCCTCCAGCCAGCCCTGCTAGGAGGCTGCAGGGGCGTGGGGGTGGAGCTGCCCTGTGCTCCCTGAGGGGGGGGAGAACACCTGGCAACAGTGCACACCTCCCCGCCCCCAGCACACACACACCAGCCTCCCCCCAGAGTGCAGTCACACAACAGGCCCCTCAGTCCTGGGACGCGCCTCCTTTGCCGGGCGCTGTTAAAACAAGCGGCACCTTCAAAGGCCCTTGTCTGGCATCAAAGCGTGCGTCCCCCAGGCCTTGTAACAAAGCATCCTCACAGGGCATCCACATTGGCACCGCACAAACCGCTCCTAGGTCCTCACACTGATCAGGGGGCCCACGCGCCCCCGGGGTGCCCCAAAAAGAGTCAGCACAAACCCACGAACGCAGAGAAATGGGAAACCTGAGGGGTGGAATAAATATTCGGCCACCACGTCAATAGATGCTTGGAGCATGACAGAGGTGGCTATGAAACGATGGAGAAGTGAGATTCAACAAAACACACGCAGTGATGGTGGGTGTTTGCGGGAAGACCAAGGGCCAAGCTCACATCTGGTGTCAGTAGAAGATGAATCCAGTTTTGAAGACTCAAGACTTGATGGACGAGGGGAATTTTTCACTGTCTTAGAGATAAATAGTTAATCGGCTGCGCAGCCATTAAATAACACCCCTATTGTTTGTGTATGAAAGGCTAAGGCTGGTAAAACCAGATGCCATCTCTTGATAAGGTGTTCTCCATTAGCTAAGAACTGATAAAACTCACAGCTGGATGAGGTGTGCATAAGGGGGCAGGCAGGGGCACAGATCTCTTCCCCCTAATAAGCAGCAGGGGATGCAAAGTTCCTCTAGTCTCAGGGCCCTCATGATAATATTATCTACTCAAAGTAACAGTTAATAGTAATTTGCATTGTGTTCCTGTCTGTGGAGCCCCAATCACTGACCAGGACCTAGTGCTAGACACTGTACAAACACCCAACAAAAAGATTCCAATAGCAAAATGAACAGGAAGAAAAGCTCTGTGGATCTTGAAAGTTTGTCTCTCTGGCCAACAGAAGTTGTTGCAATGAAAGATGTTACCTCAGCACCTTATTTCTTTAATATCCCGGGACTAACATGGCTACAACACTGCCAACAGAATTAACAAGTAGTAGGTAAGACGCTATCTAGCTTGTATTGTGATTTTCAGGTCTCGGATGTGTTGCTTTTGTCTCTTATTCACTTGTTTTTTGGGGGCTTCTAGACTCAGAGAGGAACAAATGACAGCAAGGACCAGCTGTGAATCATTTCCTATCATCATCTTAAGAAGTGGGTTTCGCCCACCAAAGCTCAGGATACTACATTCTTGTTAGTCTCTAGGACAGTGGTCCCCAACCTTTTGGGGCTGCCGGGCGCCCGGGGGCGGGGCCATGCACAGGCAGTGCACCCTGGGGCGGGGCCGCACATGCACTGCGAGCCCGGGGCCGGCACCGACATGTGCCGTGGCCCCGGGACAGGGGCCACCCATGCGCCACGCGCCCGGGGCCGGCACAGCACATGTGCCATATGCCCGGGGCGGGGCCAGCCCAAATTGTTTAGCGGGAGCACATAAATGGCCCAGCAGGCGCCATGGTGCCCACGGGCACCACATTGGGGACCACTGATCTAGGGTGCCACAGCACTACTTGTTGTTTTTAACGTTACCGACTAACACAGCTACCCACTGAGACATTTTCTACCAAGAAAACTACAACTCCCAAGATGCCTCCTTTCTGCCTCCACTCCCAGCCAACCCAACACCGCTTGGCTTGAAACTGTGTTTCCGCTCCTCCTGCTGCAGAGCCATGTCCCAGGTGCAGCTTCCTCCCATGAAAGCTGTTATAGTGCCTGGGAATGGGGCAAGCAATGTAGAGAAATGCAATTGGTACGGATGGGCATGGAAAAGACTAGGGCAGGTAAGACATGGCAGTGGCAAAAGGTTTGATCTGACCTGTTTATTTACGCTCCTGCCTACCTCACCAGCTATTTGGAACACCCTAAGTCAGGCAGGCACCTGGCTTCTTTTTCTAATGAAGTTGTCTGCCCCCAATCTCTGCTTCCCTCTTGTGCGGTTTAGCATATACCTTCCCTTTCTTTAAATCCACAGCTGGCAAGCAGGAGGGGGCTGCGGAAGGGTCCTGGCAGAACATCTGCAGTGAAGCAGAGAGGGGGAGCCTCTTTAGGGAGACTCTTGTTTTTCTTGTGCTAAGAAAGCTCCTTGTTCAGCATTAGATGTAAGCAACTTTTTCAATGATTCTCCCCTCCTCCTCCTGGCTTGTTCACAGCTCTCTAGCACTGATTTGTGATTCTTGTCTTTGTCATGCGACATTCTCCCCTCCCCCTCCTGGCTTGTTCACAGCTCTCTAGCACTGATTTGAAGGGTGCATGAAGAAGGCTGCAGTGGATAGTGCTTTCTGTAGAGACTCTCACTTGGTTTTCTATACTCCCACTTGGGTATTTCTGTTATGAAGTTCAGCCACTGGACATCACATGGAGGAGAAAACACAGAAATAGGGGATGACTGATTTGCAAACACTAGAGTGCAGTGATTAGTGACCCCAGGGAGTGGGTGGGAGAGATTGCTGGTAATTCAAACAAGAAATATTTGTAAAATCAGCAGTCTTTTTCAACTCCTGGTGCATTATAGTTGCAGTGCTTTACATTTTCAAAGCACCAAGTAAACCCTCAATCTTCTCCATGTGCCTGGGACTCACTCCCTCCCCCCTGCCCAGTGCACCCCAAATATTTAACCTTTCAACCTAACACTGTAGCAAGACCCATCTACATAACCCTGAAGACCCATTGGAGGAAAGCAAGTGTAACCACTGCAACAGTTTGCATGCCAAGGGACTGCACAACCTTTGATAATGCAATCATTGGTCTTCTCCACACAGATACCTGGTTTCCAGTGTTTACTTCGAAATATGCCTGACCCAGGTAAGTCTGTTTTACCTTCTCCCTGTATTTTGCATTATCCCACTGGCAATATTTCCAGAAAACGAATATGAGCCTGCTTTATCTCAGTGGCTGTCTTCATTCTGGGGGAGTTCCTGTACCCCAATCCAAATGGGATATGTTTGCACTGCAACATTATTTCAAAATAACTGTCTGCTGCGTAGACACGGACTAAAATAACTTAATTAGTCCGCATCTACACAGCAGGTAGTTATTTCGAAATAATTTCAAAATACTGTAAAGCTGGAAGACTTCTTACTCCAACTCCTGTAACCCTCATTGTATAAGGAGTTAGGGAAGTCAAAAGGAAGAGTGCTCTATTTTGAAATAAGCGCTGTGTAAATGCTCTCAATTTTGAAATAAGCTATTTTGAAATAAGCTACGCAGTTGACGTGGCTTAATTTGCGTAGGTTATTCTGAGTTAAGGCCTGCTGTGTAGATGTGCCCTGGGAGACGCACAGCCTGCTGAAATGCTTTGCTGGGGAGAGGGTTTGGATGCTCATCTGAATGTTTTATGTGCACATACTGTGATGCAGAACATTGCTCGTGTGCAGACAGTACATGCTTGACTGCGTCCTGCAAGCCCCAGAGATTGTACCAGGCCCTGGATGAGCTGGGTAGCTTAGCAGGGAAGTATTTATGAAGGCCACACTCCAGGTTGCTACTGCTGCCAGTAGTTCTAGACAAATAGTGTCTGTCTCGGCTCAGTTTGCAGCAGACTGGTGTCCACCACACCATCCCCATTAGAACTGGTTTTCGAGAGGCCAAAGACTGAGCCTTGGAAGGTTAAACCTCACACTGACCCTTAAACCTGACATCTCCAGGTCCATGTGGAGTTACTTTACGTGGGGTAGCAAGGTTGGAACTGGCACAGCTGCAGTGTATGTTTAACTCATAGTGGGGCTAAACAGAGGCCTTTGGTCTTCATAGCTGCTAACCTTACCCCTTCTGCAAGCACTAAACTCACTAAGAATTAAATAAAGAGAAAATCCCCCAGAGAGCTGTATGCAGAGCATGCTAGCTGGGCGTGGGGAGGAGGGGGGTGGATAAGGAAAGGCAAAGCAATTGAATCTCTTCTCTGCAAATCAGTTACAGCTCGAGAGAACATCTGGCTGCCATTCATGGAATCAGAACTGCACTGCGATGGGCAGACTATCCTTATTGGACACAGCTCTGGGGCTGCTGCTGCCATGAGGTACAGTACAGGGGGTAAGGCACTGAGTTTCCAGTTTTGCAGTCTAATGGGATCATGACCATTTCAGCTAATGATCTCAGAGCTGCTCCACTTGAACTCAATGGCAAAATTGCCCCCTGCCGTCAGTGTGAGTAGAATCCTTCTGACAAGATTAGCACCATATGTAAGGGATTGAGAATGTGGTGGGGTACTGGAGGGCTTATCTGCTGTTGAAGAACTAGACATTTAACAGTGGGAACGGAAAGCCACAGTAAAATACCCTCAGCTAAATCTAATGTAATAGTTGGGGTGCTATGGCATTACGTGATGCACCTGAAAATCCTTGGGTGACTTGCCTGTAGCTGTAACCTCTCCAAATCCTTTACATGAATATCGCCCCATCTTTGCTTAAAGGACATTGCAAAACCCTGCTGTTAGATTTCATCAGTTACTCTGGCTGTGCCTAGACTATGCAGTTCTTTCTAAAAAAAGAAGTGGAAAAAGATACACAAATTGCAGTTCTCAATTTGCGTATCTTTTTCCAGAAGAGGCTTTTCTGACATTTGGCCTGTCTACACTGAGCCAAATGTCGGGAAAAAAACTTTTTTTTTTTTTTTTGAACTTCCCTTCTTCCTTGTAAAATGAGGTTTACAGGGATGCCAAAAAAACACCTCTGCTCTTCCAAAAAAAAATTCAGAAGAGCAGATGCATTCCTTGGACATGGATATACCCTCTGTCTCAGCTTCTGCTTTTCCTGGCTTCTCGTTCTCCTTTAAATGCAAAAACATCTGGATTTTTTTTCATGTTCTTAAATGATATATAAGAAGGTTACAGCCATCTGCCAAAGGTGTCTGTGAGCACTTTGCAAATTTCTTAAAATGACAGGGGTGGGGGGTTGTGTACTAGCACAATGTACTACAACTTCATGGGGAGAGGGATAGCTCAGTGGTTTGAGTATTGGCCTGCTAAACCCAGGGTTGTGAGTTCAATCCTTGAGGTGGCCATTTAGGGATCTGGAGCAAAATCTGTCAGGGATGGTACTTGGTCTTGCTGTGAAGACAGCACACTGGACTCTGTGACCTCTCAAAGTCACTTCTAGGAGATAGGCATCTCCATTCTTTTAGTCACCTGGCTCCTTTTTTCCCCTCAGGTATGCAGAAACTCACCAGCTGTATGCCATTATTTTAGTGTCTGCTTACACTTCTGACCTGGGGGATGAGAATGAAAGAGACAGTGGTAAGTTGATCTTATTTGATCTGTGTGTCAGTCTCTTGAACCAGTTACATTAGTTGGCAAGACCTTTGCTAATAATTTAAAAAGCAAATCCTGTCCTTTCAAATATAGCTGCTGCCAAACCTGAGACAGATTGCTTGCACTGGGATGTCAGAAATCTCTTCTGGGTGTGTTTCAAGCACCTGTAAAATTCGGTGACTGCTCCCAGTTTGCAGCTGGTCCCAAGAAGAAATGTGTTTGCATTAGAAATGTACAAGGAAGTAAACAGGATGATGGGGATTAATGTAGCTATATAACCATTCGAGAGAGATCTTGGAGTCATTATGGATAGTTCTCTGAAAACATCCATTCAATGTGCAGCAGCAGTCAAAAAAGTAAACAATGTTAGGAATCATTAAAAAGGGGATAGAGAGTAAGATAGATAATATTTTATTGCCTTTATAAAAATCCATGATATGTCCACATCTTGAATGCTGTATACAGATGTGGTCACCTCATCTCAAACAAGATATATTGGCATTGGAAAAGGTTCAGAAAAGGGCAACAAAAATGATTAGGGGTTTGGAACAGGGACTTTTCATCTTGGGAAAAAAGGAGACTAATGGGGGATATGGTAGAGATTTATAAAATAATGACTGGTGTGGAAAAAGTGAATAAGGAAAAATTATTTACTTGTTCCCATAACCTAAGGACTAGGGGTCACCAGATGAAATTAATAAGTAGCAGGTTTAAAACAAACACACACACGCAATTCACAGTCAACCTGTGGAACTCCTTGCCAGAGGATGTTGTGAAGACCAGGACTTTAATAACAGATTTCAGAAAAGAACTAGATAAATTCAGGGAAGTTAGGTCCATCAATGGCTATTAGCCAGGATGGGTAGGAATGGTGTCCCTAACCTGTTTGTCAGAAGCTGGAAATAGATGACAGGGGAGGGATCACTGTATGATTCCCTGTTCTCATCATTTCCTCTGGGGCACCTGGCATTGGCCACTATCAGAGAACAGGACACTGGGCTAGATGGACCTTTGGCCTGACCCAGTATGGCCGTTCTTATGTTCTTAGGAAATACTACATTGAGGTTAGACTCAGCTCTGGGATGGCTGTTTTTTATGCCTTACAGGCTACTTTAACAGACCTTGGCAGTGGGAGAAGATCAAGGCTAACTGCCATTGCATTGTGCAGTTTGGTTCCACCGACAATCCTTTCCTTCCCTGGAGCGAGCAGCAGGAAGTGGCGGACGGGCTGAAAGCAGAGCTACACAAGTACACAAACAGGGGCCATTTCCAGAACACTGAATTCAGTGAGCTAATCAGTGTGGTCCAGGGAATGCTCAACGGGGCTGCTTAGAGTAGAGTCCCTTGATCTTCTCTTTCTTTACTTTGGGGGCAGGCTGGATTTCCTGCCGAGCAAGCCAACAGCAAAGCTCTAGTCACAGAACACGATTAACGCCCTCTGCCATGTGAGCAAAGCTTGAATCAGCAGCTTGCCTGTTCTCTGACAGCAGGCTCAGCCCCCACCCTGCCCGAGAATTAAGAAAGACTTGACTGTCCACATAAAGGTGATAGATGGAAAGTGTAATACTAACAGCTGGAACCAAACCTGGGACCTTTATGAATGAGCATCTACAGCTTGCGCTACAAGTAAAGTAGCTTGGGGCTCAGGCTGTAGAGCAAACTCCTCTCTCTCTCTGCAAGTGGTCTGGGACAGTGCCCCACACCCAGTAGATGTATGGGTTACATAAGGGCACAGAGTGGGAAGAAAATGAAATAGGAAAGAGAACAACCAATCCAAGAGCTGGATGGGCCCTGTTTGGAAAGTCTTCACTCTGCTTTAAAGACCAGAGGCAATGCCCATTAAAATCAAGGGGTATCTTTCCATTAATGCCAAGGGGCTTTAGGTCAGGACCTGCCTTAGCTAGTGACCACACTTCCATGTGTTCTACTTCCCAGTTCAGTTGTGCTTTGCAGTGTATAGGACAGCCCGTCTTTCGCAATGATTAGATTCACTGTTTTGAGGACGATTGTTTGCACGCTGTAAATAAAGTCAAAGCCTTCGTCATCTCACCGTAACATGGCTTTTGTCATTCCTAAGTATGCACTGTTTCTTTCAAGGAGTTTAGGTTGTGCCATGGGGCTACTGAGGCCAGGGGGCAGAGGCCAATGCTCCAGATCCGTCCAACTCACAGGGCTGGGAGGCCAGTGAGGAGCCAGGTGTGTCCCATCCTGTGAACAGGAGTTGCCAGAGGCAGCGTGGGGGAGTGCAGGAGCCCACAGAGGTGGGCTAGGGCAGAGCTGCGCAGCCAGAAGGGCAGCCCAGAAAGCAGGGCTGGGCTGGGGGCAAAGCAGCCGCCACGCTGAGTCAGGATGGGGCAGGAGAGGGAGCAGCAGGCAGCCGTGTTCTCCCAGCTTTTTCCATCCATGTGTGGAATACATTTTGTGATGTGCACCAAGGCATGTGCGGAGGTGGGTGTTGTGGGTGCTCTGCTGGCAGTGTTTGAATCTCTCCAGGGTGGCCACCCAAGTGCTGAGCACACAGGGAACACGAGGCCTCAGATCCTGTCTGATCTTCCCCAGGGTCATGGAAAAGCCCGGAAAGTTCCCCACAATAGCAGGACCTCTCCCCCACTTATACCAGCACCTCCCCCAGAGCTTCTCTAGAGCTTGTTGTCACTGGCACTGAATCCAGAGCTAAAAGCATCAGTCTGTACAGCCGGCGCTAAAGGTTGTTAAACCCCTACTTGGGAGTTGTCTCTGTCTTGTGTCATCTGCACCAGGCACAGCTGGGGCTGTGTCACGGGGACTGTGTAGCGCACACAGCGGGTCCCTCTCCATTTCAGGGTTTTCCTCGGGCCTCACTCAAGTTGCACTTTCTGCTAAATAAAAAGGTAACAGAACTGTTGGCAACTCTCGTGATGTTATCATGAGCAGCCTGCCCTTTAGTGTCGTTATGTTAAAGCCCCAGCGCCTGGAGTCCTGTGATGACCTGAGGCTCTCAAGCTGGGCTGCCCTTGAAAGTTATGTAAGTTGAGCAACAGCCATTAGGGGTGTGAAAAAGCCCTTTGCTGCCAAGTCTGGCTACTCTGACCTCACCCCAGTGTGGCCACAGCTAGCAGGGCCACAAAACATGCAGCAGTGGAACAGGAGAAAGTTCTGAAAAGGGCAACACACCCGATGAGGGGTTTGGAGCGGCTTCCATAGGAGGAGAGAGGAACACGAGTGGGACTTCTCGGCTTGGGAAAGAGACGCCTCAGGGGCTATAAAATCACGACGGGTGCGGAGAAAGTCAATCAGGAAGTGCTATTTACTGCATCTCATAACACAAGAGCTAACGTGACATTGGTAGGCAGCAGGTACCGAACAAACCAAGGGAAGGATTTTTTCACACAACACACATTCAGCCTGTGGAACTCCCTTATAATGCTTCTGTTGTCCTCCCACGTTACCATGTCCTTTCAGCTGAGAAAACAGGACCTGTTTTGGGAGGTGATGGTCTGGCATCCAAACAATGCAACCAGTCGATGATCATTGCCTCAATGCTGTTGGTCTATATATATATATATACACACACACACACATATATACTCAGTACATATTTATATATACACACACACACACACACACACACACACACACAGGCTACGTCTACACTGGCCACTTCTCCGGAAGAGGCATGCTAATTTTGAACTTTGGAATAGGGAAATCCGCGGGGGATATTTAAATATCCCCCGCGGGATTTAAATAAACATGGCCGCCGCTTTTTTTCCGGCTTGGGGAAAAGCCGGAAAAGAGCATCTAGACTGGCGCAATCCTCCGGAATAAAGCCCTTTCCGGAGGATCTCTTTGAAGTAGGAATAAGAGATCCTCCGGAAAAGGGCTTTATTCCGGAGGATCGCGCCAGTCTAGACGCTCTTTTCCAGCTTTTCCCCAAGCCGGAAAAAAGCGGTGGCCATGTTTATTTAAATCCCACGGGGGATATTTAAATCCCCTGCGGATTTCCCTATTCCAAAGTTCAAAATTAGCATGCCTCTTCCGGAGAAGGGGCCAGTGTAGACGTAGCCACACACTCTATATTTCATTGTAAACTCTTTTAAACAGAGACTGTCTTCATGTTCAGGATTTGTACCACACTTTGCATAATGAAGTCATGGTCCAGGATGGGGGCTTTGAGGCACTAGGATAATACAAATAGTTATCTTAAGGCTGGGTTCTAGGAGACCTATCTATCCTATTCTCCAAAGGGATGACCTTGGATACAAATGCAGGACTCCCCAGCCTGGCCAGCAGATGGCGCCGTGGGAGCAGCAGACAAACGTAACGAGCCATTGGCTATTTCCATTCAAACATAGCTGAATGACAAAAGCCCGAGCCACAGGGAAAGCGACACGTATTCCTGCGGCAGGTTAGAGACTAACAAAATATATAGATAGTATCATGAGCTTTTGTGGGCAAAACCCACTTCCTCGGATGAGTCGAGTGGAGAAGAAAGGGGGAACCTCACAATGTATAACAGCAAAAGAAGGAAAGGGGGGGAACCTGTCCATTGTAGTGCCGGTGCTCACGAGGCCAATTGGGCGGGCTGGAAATGTCCTATTCCTATTTTGATGTCAGGTGGGTGTTGAATGTGAGGAAAGCAGATTTTATAATGGCCCATCCTGTTCAGGGAAAGTGGTGGTTCTGTGGAAGATCCTGGCCTATCATTACTGATACAGCCTGTAACCTTTGGACTTTCTAGGGGTGGCACAGGTAGGCACTGTTAGGGAGCACCTGTTGGCTCTGTGCTATCTGTGCACGCTACCCAACCTGGCTACTGGAGTTCGTTTTTCCTACCAGGAACTAAAGCAGATCTTGTGTCTGATTTCCCACATGAGACCGGTTTTTGGGTGTGACTATCATCAGTTTGTATGTGGACTGTTAGTTTCAGATCTCCAGCCTGCTTTTACAAGGCCTCCCAGCCAATAAACTACCCCTGTCTGAACTTCGGCCTTTTGAGGGTTTGAATTACAGTGAACCTCCAGGTCAGGTGTAGCTAAGGGTTAGACCAGCTTTCTGCTTATAGTTTGACTCTTCTAAGCATGCTGAAGTCTGCATGGCTTCTTGGCTAGATAAAGGGTTCAGGGACACGGGTGAAGTTTAATCCAGTCAGAGTCTAGATTTAAAGGACAGCGACAGGCACCCCTGTGACCATCAGGTCTGACCTCTGCATGCTTGTAAAGCTGCTCAAAGATCTAAAGTGTATACGAACAAGACATTCCATTTTCAGTACTAAATCCAGAATTGAGGTTCCCTCTAAACCAGTGGCCAAAAACTTTTCCAGACTACTATACCCCTTTCAGGCATAAAAATACAGAAGTGTCCCAGCCTGGTAACAGCAAACAGTTTTTCAGTTGCTCAGTTTTTACCACAATTATAAATCAACTGGAATATGACGATTGTACATACATTTCAGCGTATAGGACATAGAACAATATAAACAAATAATTGTATGAAATTTTAGCTTATACTGACTTCCCCATCGCTTTTTATGTAGCCTGTTGTAAAACGAGGCAAAGATCTAGATGAGGGGGATGTACCCCTTGGAACATCTCTGCATATCCTCAGGGGTATGTGTAGCCTGGTTGAGAACCACTGAATGGAGTCCCAGCCATGCATTTTCACACTGGAGCAGATCTACGAAACTGAAGGAATTCAAAAAAGAATAGAGCTAACATTCGTTCTGAGACTTGAGTTTTTTTCTTTTCTCTCTCTCTCTCTCTCTCTCTCTCGGAGGCAACAAAAAGCAAGTTCAGAAAGGCCCAAATGATAGAAAGCTGGCTCCCCGTTGATTTACTTACAAAGAAACACATTTTGGCAAAACCGGCCGTTTGATTTTGGAGACAGTAAAGTAAAATTAGTAGCACCCCAGTGTTCCCATGAGAATCAGGGTCCCATTGTCCTAGGGACAGGTAGAGAGATACCAATGTGCAATCTTCATATGTATTTTAGAGTGCATCTGTCTGTGAATCTGTTCAAGAACTCCTTGTAAAGGGCAAAAGCTAGGTGTATATTTTAGGGTAATACTTTGCATTTGTCCTTATCAAAGTCCATCCTATTTATTTCGGACCATTTCTCCAGTTTGTCAAGATCTTGAATTCCAATCCTGTTCTCCAAAGTGCCTGTAATTCCTCTCGGTGTGCTCATTGGGCCACTATTCAAAACCTTTATGAAAATTCTGAAAGAACCCCATCTAGGAAGTTCCTTGTGGAACCGCACTCCATGGGAATTTCCAGCGGGAGTGTGAACCTTTGATAACTACTCTCTGAACAGTTTCCCAATCAGCTGCATACCACCTTATAGTAGGTTCATTTAGTTTGCTTATTAGGTGGGTCATGTGAGAGTATCAAAAGCTTTACCAAAGTCAAGATATACCACTTCTACCACACACAGCCATCCACTAAGCTTGTTACCCTGTGAAATAAAGCTGTCAGGCTGGTTTGCCACCACTATTTGTTCTTGACAAATCCATGCTGATCATAACCTTATTATCTTCTAGGTGCTTTCAAACCAATTGATAGAGCAAATAATTATCTTTCTGGGTACCAAAGGTAAGATGACTGGTCTATAATTCCTTGGGTTGTCTTTATTCCCCTTTTTGAAAATAGAAACTATATTTGCCTTTTTCCAGTCCTCTGGAATCTATATAAAACAATGGTACACCCACATCTTGAATACGGCATACAGATGTGGTTGCCTCATCTCAAAAAAGATATATTGGCATTGGAAAAGGTTCAGAAAAGGGCAACAAAAGTTATTAGGGGTTTGGAACGGGTCCCATATGAAGAGAGATTTAAAAGACTTGGACTTTTAAGCTTAGAAAAGAGGAGACTATGGGGGGATAGGATAGAGGTCTATAAAATCATGACAGGTGTGGAAAAAGGGAATAAGGAAAAGTGATTTACTTATTCCCACAATATAAAAATGAGAGGTCACCAAATGAAATTAATAGGCAGCAGGTTTAAAAACAAACAAAAGGAAACCCCCTGCCAAGCTTTCTTGTGTCTAAACCACGCCTGGGCAAAATATGGCCCGTGGATGACATCTGGTCCACTAAGCCACCAGATCCAGCTGGCGGAGGCAGTGGGACGCCCCAGGCAGGCTCCCCTGCTTGCCCCACAGCCTCGCACACCACTCAAAAACGTGGCTGCGGGGCTGAGACCGGAGAGGAGGGGGAAGATTCAGACGCTGCGCCCACCCCCAGCACAATCCTATTAGCCAAAAATTTGCGAATAGGAGCTGCCTGTTTGAACAACAGGCAACCACCCTCCTGCTCACTCAGGCACATGACAGCAGGCAGGAACATTTTAAATGCTACAAGCAGGCTGGTTTGGCTGCTAACTGGTAAGTCTCCTGGCCAGAACCTACTTCTGGTACTCAGCCCCTCCCTTCCCCAACCATTTGCCCCCTATTCCTGCCCTGCTACTCCACATGCACCTATACCCCTTCCCATATCTGGCACCCCAATCTTCTGCCCAAGATCACAATCCCCTCCTACCTTAGGTCACATTCCAAAACCTGCACCCCAGTTCCCAACTGCCTCCTTCACCCAAACTCCCTCCCAGACCTCATTCTCACTCCTGAACCCCAATCTCTTACCCTGAGCTCCCTTCTGAACCCAACCTCCATCCCAGACCCCCCTCCCCCCACCTCCTCCATTAATACCATGGAAGCGTGCGGCCCTCGACCACTTTCCAAAATCTTAGAGTGGCCCCCCGTCAAAAGTTATTGCCCATCCTTGGCCTCAACCATTCAAGACAGAGGACTGTCCAGCCTCCTTTTGAAAACCTCCTCCAGTGAAGAAGCTTCCACAATCTCTCAAGGCATCCGTTCTATTGTCCTACTGAAATACAGGTTGAATCTCTCTAGTCTGGCACCCTCGGGACCTGACCGGTGCTGATGTAGGGATAACATATTAATGTATTGAAAATGATTCCCGCAAATGGAAGTGACTCCCCATAATTTGTTCCCCACAACTTAAAAGTGTTTAGATTTATTATTAATTCTTCTTATTATTATTATTAGTTAAGATTGTTAAATGTCTAGATTTATTATTATTATTGCCCCTTTAGAATATAATGTATTAGGTCATGTAACTTAGAACTATTAAGAATATAATCCTATGTAGCCAGAAACAGTCCCCCTCTGTGCTTGTGCAAGGGGCTGCTTGTAATTGACATTGCAGAGATACATTGTAACAATGCATTGTCAAGCCACTAACTCTGATATGGGAGCCAAGCCCTGTAATTGACTAAGGGCATTGTCACATAATTGATGCCTGTTCTCTTTAAAACATTGTAACTTTATTCAGCACTCAGAGAATGTTTTAAGCAATTCCACCCAGAAACTTTTTTGTAACTACAACTCTGATATATGTAAAGTTATTATTATACAAAAATATTGTATGGGAAACATTAATTAAGGAATGTATGTAAGAGAGAGAGTGCTTGGATGATGAGTGAATGGTTCTGAGAGGTGCCAGCCTGAGAATACAGCAACAAAGGGCTGAAAAAGGCGTCAGGTGCCAGTGCAACCAAAAGGTGTCAAATACTGAAGGTCCACCCGATGAGATCACTGTCAAGCACCTGGCAGCCACCCTGGAGACATCAGCATGATGCAGCAATTTCCATAGACTGGCATAGGAAAAAATTCCTATAAGAACTGGACTAAAAAACTATGGAATCAGAGTCCAAGGTTCTGCTGCCAGCCCACCAGGAGCTTCAGATGCGCATCTGATCAGGACTTCGCTCCCCACTACCATCACTTGTGTACAGAGTACCTGGCCAGTATTCTGTCACAAGCAACTTCCAGGCTGGTAACTATACACAGAACTTGAATAAATGGATGTATAAATGAATGGTTATATATATATATATATATGTATATGTATATGTATAAAAAAGTGTGTAAGGGTTAAGTAGTGATAGGAATAAGTAGTTAAACAACGTTGTTTGCTTCTATCTTTTCTTTATTTTTTATTATTATCTTTACAATAAAGGCTTTTTGCCTTATCCCCCTCATAAGATCCTGCTTGCTTTTATTTGGTACAACACTGAACCAGAGAATTTGCCAGACCATGGGAGGTCAGTATTGTCTAGCAGCATTACCAACACTTCCACTGCTAACTGAGCTCTTAAAAGACAGGTAAAGGTTCATTAGAGCTAAATAACAACACAGAACACTGACAGCCAGGACTGGTGGCTGTAAACAAACTTTATGGGACTGTGGAAAACTTGGCCATACCCATAATAAGTGGCCATCTGGCTAACTAATATCACGTTGAACCATGCACGTTACCAGACCAGAGAGATTCAACCTGCAGAAGTAATGAAGTAAGCAAAGACCAAATATACCTGGGTATATTCATATAGTATTTTATTTATAACACTGGAGGAGGAGAAGGAAGAATCGACAAGCGGGGCTGCCACTGCGCTCAGAGCCTTTGTAGTGCAACATCCATTTCCAACCGGACTTTGTTTCTGCTGGGTGAAGGTGCTGCCTCTAAGACCGCGCTCTCCACTCAGTATTACTGCTCTGAACAGCAGAGGTCTTTGGAAACCTCAGAGCTGGCGACTCATTTTCTCACGTCCAAGATATAACTTGCTGTACAGAGCCATACATAACCCCTCAAGATTTTTTATTGCCTCTCCCCCCTTTTGGTGGTGTTTGTCAAATTGCTCGGCTTTCGTTTTTCATGCAGGAACAGGTATAAGTTGCCATCAATGACTTGACCTCAACTAGTGCTTCACTTTTCATCCACTCTCTGGACTGCTAACAAACCAATGTGTTGCTTTTCTGCATAAAATTAAAACAAATTAACGCCATGTCCTGCAGTTGCTTACAAACCCCCACCCCGAGTCCATGATTAAAAAGCGAGCTGGTTCATCCACACAGGCTGCAAAGAGAAGGAACAGTCCATGGTTCTCATCTTGCCATCAAAATTCCAGCCACTCTGCCATATAAATGCAATTGGAGGGAGAAATCTCACCACCTTCATGGCAGTCGTCAAAGACCTGTGGTAAAATGAAATGAGGTATAAGACGACTTCATTGCACGCAGGGAGCCCAACACAATTGGAAGTAGCCACTGAACTGTTTGCTCCACACAAGAGTAGAACAAACAAAAACCTGGGATCCAGGAGACTCTCGGATCTACTCCCAAGCCAGCCTGAGATTACTATTTGTACTACGCTAGCACCAGAGGCCCACTCAAGATCAGGGCCCTGTTGTACTAGGCACTGAACACACACTGACTGACGGACCCAGCCTGGGGCAGGTTATAAAGTAGCAGACAAGCCAAAGGGGTACAGAGAGGGGAAAGAACTTGCCAAAGGGCATACGACAGGTGAACAGAGATTAGAACCCTAGTTTTATGACTCCCCTTTCAGTTCCCTATCCACTAGACGAGACCATGCTGCCATTGCAAAGAACAGAAACAATCAAACAGCCATCGTGGGGCTCCGATCCACAATAAATCATTATATCCATGCAAAGCAGACAGTTCACACACTGTGCCAATAAATGATTTGGTTGAGGGTTAAGATATTAAACATGAGAGGGGCCAGAAAGAAACTAAATGGACATCATCTGGGTACAACCCTCATTTGAAAACATTTCCTACTCATGTTTTCAACACCTTAGGTTACTACAGCTGAAGAGGTTTAGAAGCATTTACTGCTTTTTCATTAAAAGGCTTTTTGCATTTCTCATCTTGGGCAGTAAAAAAAGAACGGGGTTCTGTCACTGTCTGGTTCCCGTGCATGAGAACAACGTAACCATGTCTGGGTTGCCACTGCACATGCCTGTGTAAGCTTCCCATTGGAATTAAAAACGAACAAACCTAAAAATGATTAAAAACCAGTTTCTACTGGTCTTAGATCTACCAGATGTTTGTTTATAAAAATGGGATGAGATGAGTGTGTCAATAGGAAACAGAATACGCTAAATCATGGGTTCCCAAACTGGGGGGCATGAAAAAATTCCAGGGGGGGTGCGAGGCAACCCAGGCTCCCCCTCCCCAAGTTTTGCTGTTATTTTTGTTTTTCAGCCCTGGTGAGTTGTTTTTTTTTTCTCAACAAGTTTTGCTGCTATTTGGGTGGGTGGGGGGAGTGTGAGGGTTTCTCAAAAATCAGAAAGGGGGCGTGATGCCAAAAAGTTTAGGAATCACTGCGCTAAATAAAAGCAAGGCATGTGTAATCTCCACTAACTTTTTAAAGTCAGTGGGATTACTCCTGTGTGTATGGCTAAGCACAAACTCAGGGATTATCTTCACTACCGGTCTGATCCATGGTAGGGATGAAAAGTCCTGTTTAAATAGCTAACCCATTAAACATGTTGTTTAACAAGTTAACTGATTAAAGGAGGGTGAGCGGGGGAAGGGGGGGCAAAGAGGGGGATAGGGGTACTCCAGCCCAGCCAGAGTAGCCCTTCACTATGGCTCCCACTGCCCCCATTGGAACAGCCCCTGCCAGTGGGGTGCCCAGGCCCACGGCGGATAGGGGCTGCTCTAGCCCTGGAGCAGCCCCTTTCAACGGCAGCGCCCCCCAATGGTTAACCTTAACCAGTGGTCCCACCCATTAAGGGCGAAGCTTACAAGTTACTGGTTAAACCCTTCACATCCCTAATCCACAGGGCAGCAATGAATCCAGCAGGGGTCAATTTATTATATCTAGCCTAGACATGATAAATCGATCACCCTCCCATCAATTCCAGGATTCCACCTCAACGAGAAGTGCAAGAGGAGTTGACTGGAGAGCGTCTCCTGTTGACACATCATAGCAAAGACACCGCGGGAAGCAGACCTAAGTATGCTGGCCTCAGTTTTGCTATTCATGTAGCTGAAGTTCCATAACTGAGATCGATCTTCTCCTGAAGTGCAGACCAGCCCTAAGTGTTAGCAGCACCTGGGTCTAAACTTGTACATGCTTCTTCCTCCATTTACACAACAAGTAACTTACCGGGCAGAGGCCACAGGGTGTTCGGACTAATCCAGTGGGTTGGATGATAGGATTGACAGCTCTGTACAGCTTCATGTGTCCATCCACGCTGCCAACTGTTCCTTCTTTTGCAGCAATGATGGTCATCTCCACCTTCCCATCATAGATGAGTGTGTTTAAAATCGTTTCGATATCCTCCATCGACAACTCTACCTAAGGACAATTTTGTAAAATAATAATTACTATTGGTAACCACGAAATAAAGTGTGTAAGGAAAATAAACCTATTTACGAATGATGACATTACCCTCACTGCTCAGACTTTAGCGGTCTGAAGTAGTCTTGATACAGGCACGAAACATATTGAACCATGGGCACTGAATGGCAGTTATGTAGAAAAGAAGACAGCATAAGCGAGTGAGGTTTTACCGTTTTTCTTTTAAGATCATACTGGGCTTTCAAATACATTTGCCAAGTGAAACTGTCCCATACTTCTCAAGCCTCTGCAATAATTAATACATATCCAATAATCCTCTGATGATTTGGGAAACCCATGTACAGTTTACGTATTCTGTTTGAGATATGAACTAATGTTCACTTGGAATGAGTAAGCCCTTATGATTATCATGACTAAATTCTTGCCTCTATGGAAACAGTGTCTATTTCTGAATAGGATGGCCTGCAGAGACCATCAGCACCCGAATATAATTTTGCCCAACCCCAACAGGATGGCTCAGGGAAACCACTTTCCTCATTTGTCTGAATTGAGTGAAGGTTTTAAGGAGTGGAATCATTAAACAAGGGATAGAGAATACAACAGAATATCTTATTGCCTCAATATGAAACCACGGTACGCTCACATCTTGAATACTGCGTACAGATGTGGTCGCCTCATCTCAAAAAATGATATATTGGCACTGGAAAAGGTTCAGAAAAGGGCAACAAAAATGATTAGGGGTTTGGAACAGGTCCCATATGAAGAGAGCTGAAATATCCAAGTCTTTTTAATCTTAGAAAAGAGGCAACAGAGTGTGTCTACACAGCAGGGCTTAACTCAAAATAAGCTACACAAATTGAGCTACATCAATTGCGTAGCTTATTTTGAAATAGCTTATTTAAAAATTGGGAGTGTCTACACAGCGCTTGTTTCAAAATAGATCACTCTTCCTCCAACTTCCCTTACTCCTTGTACAAGGAGGGTTATAGGAGTCGGAGTAAGAAGTCCTCCAGCTTGACAGTATTTTGACATTATTTCAAAGTAATTTAGTCCATACACCGAAGGCAGTTATTTCGAAATAACGCTAGTTATTTTGAGATCATGTTGCTGCGTAGATGCACCCTAAGGGGGGATATGATAGAGGTCTATAAAATCATGACTGGTGTGGAAAAGTGAATAAGGAAAAGTTATTTACTTGTTCCCATAATATAAGAACTAGGGGTCACCAAATGAAATCAATAGGTAGCAGGATTAAAATAAAAGGAAGTTTTTCTTCATGCAGCACATAGTCAACCTGTGGAACTCCTTGCCAGAAGATGTTGTGAAGACTAGGACTTCAACAGGGTTCAAAAAAGAGCTAGATAAATTCATGGAGGTTAGGTCCATCAATGGCTGTTAACCAGGATGGGTAGGAATGGTGTCCATAGCCCAGGCCTGGGCAAAATACGGCCCACGGGATGGATCCGGCCTGCGGAGGCAGTAGGGAGCCCCAGGCAGAGCCTGGCAGCCCCACACAGAAACGTGGCTCCTGTGCTCCTTTTCTGTTTCAAAACTGGAGGGGAGGAGGGAAGCTTCAGGAGCCATGTCTGCCCCCAGCACAATCCCATTGACTGGTTTCTGGCTGGAAACCAGCCAATAGAAGCTGCTTGTTTGAATAACAGGCAGCCAAGAAGAACCACACCCCCTCCTGATGGCTCAGTTACTCACTGAAGCACATGACCAGGCAAGCGGGCAGGCAGGCTGGCTAGGAAATGTTTTAAGCTCTGCAACCTTAGCTCTGCAGCCAGGCAGGCTGGCTTGGCTGCTGGCTGGTAAGTCTCCTGGCCACAGCCTGCCTTCACAAGTAAAGGTTATTTAAAATAAAGTTTTCCACTATTTGGCTCAAAAAAAGATTAAGATTGAAAGACATTTTCCCATATTATTGTAAGCCTCATATTCATAGGTTCTGCAGACAGGCAAGCTGGTTTGGCTGCTGGTTTGTAAGTCTCCTGGCCAGAGTCTGCCTCTGACACCCCAGCCCCTCCCTTCCTCAAACCTCTTCCCCTTCATTCAACATACCCAAACTTTCTGCCCCCTTCCTACACCCTAATCTTCTGCCCCAGATTACAATCCCCTCCTACACTAGGTCATATCCCAAACCCTTGCACTCTAGCCCTTTGCCCTAGGACACAACCACCTCCTTCACCCAAACTCCCTCCCAGACTCATCTCCCTCCTGCACCCCAATCTCCTACCTCAAGCTCCCCTCTGTACCCAACCTCCATTCCAGACCCCACATCTCTTCCATTAACATCATGGAAGATTGTGGCCCTCAACCACTTTCCAAAAACTTGGATTGGTCCTGTCAAAAATTATTGCCCACCCCTGCCCTACCCTCTATTTGTCTGGAAATGGATGACAGAAGAGGGATCATGCGATGATTACCTGTTGTGTTCCCTCCCTCTGGAGCATCAGGCATTGGCCACTGTCGGCAGACACGATTCTGGGCTAGATGGACCTTTGGCCTGACCCAGTACGGCCGTTCTTATGTTCTTGTTCCACTGCTGGGGGAAGCCCCGAGATAGCTGGGAGCCAGATCACTGAGGTTTGATTTTGTTTGGTTGGTTTTTATTTCTCATTTGCGTGGCCCCTGACTTTTTTTTCCGTGGGTCCCTGGCCCCCAACTGAAAAAAGGTTTCCCACTCCTGCCATACACACTGCACTAAGGATCCAAATATGCTAATCTGGATATATCAAGTTAGTCATCAAAACTAGTAGAGCGGGCTCTATTCCTAATGTTAGTCATTCAGTAGCCACGTGAAAGGTGGTAAATTAAACTCCATTCTGACCTTACTGATGCCCAACTCGCAGATGTATTTCCACACCTCATGGGAAGAGGCAAAGGAGCTGTTTCTCTGTATCATCGGGTTCTGTTTGCTTTCGCGAGCTGCTTCAGCCTGCAGAAGGAAGGAGGAGAGAGTGTAACACACGCAGCCAGTGCCCCTGCACAGAGAACATCTCTAGGTACACAACAGGCTGTTTTTAAACTGCCGAAGAGGTAATTTCCCAACAGTCTCTGCCATGTCTTCAGCAGATGATTGTTAACAAAATACACATGGCATAATACACAGTAAGTGGGAAATTACAAATTAACACTATACGCAGTAACACAACACATTACACTGACATGAGCTAGAACATAAGCACCATCATTCTGAGCTTCCTGGCTGTGGAAGAACCTCAGTCATAGCCAGTGGCATGCCGTGTATATTTCAGAGGAAAAGGGAAATTGATGTGATCTGACTAGGACTCAGATAATGGAGATTGGGAGAGGGAGCATTACTTTCCAGGCACAGGTTACAATAACCAAGCTTGACAACTTTTTTGCACAGCTGAAGCAATATGGGAAAATTGACCTCTGCTGGTTTCGTGGTTTATACTTTTTTTGATACCTGAATCTGGGGGAAAGATGCTTCTTTTCCTTTAAAAGGTACAAATTATGGGTTTATTAAGGTGAACAATACATTGTATGCATTTGCAGAAGTAATTAAATTAGAAATAAAGAACTGTGGTCCAACAACTACATAACATAAAGATAGACAGCTTTTGTTAAACTGTATACAAACTTTTCTTCCACCAGTTTTTAAAGGAAAAACAATTAGTTGTAAAACACAATCAAAGATGGGTTAATCTGTAAGCAATCCCTCACCTTAGTCTGCAAGAACTTAAAACACTGTTGGTTTAACACCTCCACAAATTCAGATTCAAAGTCTTGATCGCTGTACCAGGCCCCACCAGTCACAGACCGGTCAGGCTGCAGATTATATAACATGTACACCTTCTTCTTTGAGGCCTATTGAACAACACACACACAATTTTTTAATAGCTGAAAATCTTCTATGAAAGGAAAACTTCATTCATGTAACACCATGTGCCCTGAAACATGGGAAGTGGACAGCTGCAGCAAACAATTATTAGCATTTTCTGTACTCCAAGAATACCCTGAATTAAAGACGGGGAAGGGGAGGGAGTATTTTTAGATTTTGATTCTCAAACTTGTTTTATAGACCAGAGTTGGAAGAGTAAACAAGAACACATCAAAGTTTAAGGACAGATTAAGCCCAGGTGAGGGCTGCTGTAACTTCATTTGAGTCAATGAAACTGCACAAGGTCTGAATTTAGCCTGTTATTTGAGGTCCTCCCACATTCTGAGCTTTCAATTTTCAAGCCTGGTTTTTGCCCTACTTCAGGAGGCTGCAGGAAGCCAGAATGCGATTCATCTATCCTTGTTCAGCTATTCCTCCTATAGTTGCATGATGATGAAACATGCCTGATGACCTAATCTAAAGGGGATGAGAAACTGCTGTGAAAATTGTTTAATACAGAACTAGCACTAGGCATAGCCAAATCAGCATTTCCCAGTTAAAAAAGCTTCCCTTTTAAAATCATTCTGAGAGTTGGCTCTTTTTATGGAAAGGGCATGAATTATTCTGCTTTTTGGCTCATGGCAGCTATGACAGAACACTGTCAGAGATTAATAGAGAGTCAGGTCATTTTACCCATACTATATGGGGGAGGAGGGACGATGAACGTAGAGGGTTGACTTTTGAAGTTATACACTGGGATATTTAAATTAAAGAAGTTAATCTTCAGCTTTTAAAAATAACCATTTTTCTTTAGCTATAAATTATAAATCTTGTTCTAGTAAATCCAAAATGATGAATTAAGCTTTGACACAGAACGGTGGATGTGAATTCAGTACTATGAATTAGGGACATAAGTGAGTAGTTGACTACCCAATAAATCTAAGCCACCTGCCCTGCCCATCCCTGCCTCTATCAGAAGCAGCAGAACTGGGGCGTAAGGGTAGGGGAGGCTGTCATGAAGCAGTCTCTGTCCACGGTCAGCTCGAGCCACCATGAACAGGAGCTGCTCGACCCAGTACAAGCCAGGACCAAGCATTCCTGGTTTGCACCAGTCTGGGATCGCTGCAGCTCTGTATTTTAAATGTAGTAAGAGCTTCCAGGCTCTTATGACATTTAAAATGCAGAGCCGCGAGCAGGGGTAGCTCACGGAACCGGCGCAAGCTGCCTGCGCACCTGGCTCCTACTACATTTAAACTGTAGAGCCACAGCGGAGGTAGCTCCCAGACTGGTGCGAGCAGGGACAGAACACCTTCCTTTATCGATTGTGTGGTCGATACAAATTGTATCAACTACATGATTGGTCTACCCGCCTCTTAACATCCTTACTGTGAATAGGAAAGGAGTTTTATTACACTAAACACAAGTTAGAAAGACAAGGTGGGTGAGGTAATATGTTTTATGTGGCCAACATTTGTGGGTAAGGGAGAGAAGCTTTCGAACTACACAGAGCTTCTTCAGCCACCAAACTGATAACAGTATAGATGCTGATTCAGGAAACCACTTAAGCATGTCTTTTAACTCCTGTCTTTAATAGAAATGTTTTCCTAAATCACAGTTGTAATCATTTCTCTTAAATGGAGAGAATTTATGTCCAAAGAGAATTGTTGCTGAGCCATAAACTGGAAAGATCAAAACCCGGAAGTTTTTGTTTGGCCTAAGCAATGCACTTCAATGGAAGAGAGAATTGTTGTAATGGTTATGGTAATTCCTTTTTTTTTTTAAATAAATGACACCAGCAGCTCTTTGCTAAAGTTATTTCACTTCTACTCTTCTCTAATATTTGCACTTAGGTAAAGCCTGATGGCTAAGACTTTATAAAATAGTTAAAGTATTGTCTCTATTGTATAGAAGAGCAAACTGAAGTACAGAGAAGTTAAGTGATCATCTCATGATCTTGGAAAGTCAGGGTATGTCTACACTACCCCCCTAGTTCGAACTAGGGGGGTAGTGTAGACATACCCTGACTTTCCAAGATCATGAGATGATCACTTAACTTCTCTGTACTTCAGTTTGCTCTTCTATACAATAGAGACAATACTTTAACTATTTTATAAAGTCTTAGCCATCAGGCTTTACCTAAGTGCAAATATTAGAGAAGAGTAGAAGTGAAATAACTTTAGCAAAGAGCTGCTGGTGTCATTTATTTAAAAAAAAAAAGGAATTACCATAACCATTACAACAATTCTCTCTTCCATTGAAGTGCATTGCTTAGGCCAAACAAAAACTTCCGGGTTTTGATCTTTCCAGTTTATGGCTCAGCAACAATTCTCTTTGGACATAAATTCTCTCCATTTAAGAGAAATGATTACAACTGTGATTTAGTGAGAGAAGAACCCAAGCTTCTTGACTGCCAGTCACCTCCTCTAACATACCTGAAGCATGTGCTGCAAAGTATTTAAAAACTACAGATTACTCACTGCCACAGACTTCACAGCTTTAATGAGTTTCTTGCTCTCCAAGTTTTTCAGTATCTTGTTGATCTCTGTTAAAGGTAGATTACTTTTGTATCGAATATCCCTGCTCCAAATACCTGGTTAAAATGAAAAAAGCAAAGCTGAATTCATATGAACATGAATGGAGCATTCCAAGTCTGAACTGTAACATTTGTTCTTATGTTCAAAACAAGGCCCGAGTCATTCCATTCCGAATCAAAATTCACATGACAGCATTGAACGCTACCTCAATAAGACAGACTATATAGCAAATTATTCAAGCATGTCTCTACAGTTGTTATAACAAGAACTTGCCTGTTCCAAAAGTTCATACAGGTAAGTTGTATTTTGTCAACAGATTTGGTCAAAAAAAAGGGGGGGGACGACATTTTTTCTGAGGGGCCCTTGGTTCTGGAACTCTAATCCCCTCACTCCTCAGTCTGACATAATCCCAATTTATTGGTCTTCCATATGATACAAGGCTCGTGTTTTTCTTAGGCGCTCTCAGAGAGTTTGGGATTTGAAACTCTCTGGGGAGGGGGGGGTATTTTACAGGGAATCTGTACTTTTTAGACACAGCAGGGGCTGGGAGAAGATTTGATTGAAGCCCTTTTGTAAATACTGATACTTTGTTTATTTTTAGTTAGTTAGCTAAGTATTTAACACCTTGGACAGATGCTTTTAAAACAACTATAGCAAAAAAGCTAGAGTTAGTAATGCTTTGTATATCCCCATGCCTTTAATTCTTAAGCACTTAGAAACAGTACACATTTTTCTCTCAAATACATGCTAAGCAACAGAGCTAGCACACGTTATGAATAAAACTAAAACAGTCCTTGATTAAGTCACCTTTGTTGCCTGCATCCTCTATAATTTGATAGACCAGCTTCTCTTGATTGTCAGATCCCTTCATTTTACTGTAAAGGGTAGATTACAAAAGGGACAGGTGTTAATTCTTTTGAATGGCCAGGAGGCTTGACAGAAGTAAGCTAGATTTGTTTTAAACTGTGGAAAGCAAAATGATTAAATGAACTCAATTATACAAAAAGAAAGTGCTGGCACTAGCTAGTTATTGCAGTTCCTTGTTACTACAGAACAGCTTTTATTGCTTCTTACATGTCATGTCAAGTCAGCCAAAGTAACTCTGATTTCCTCACTACTGCTTCAATCACCAATTGCTCACCCACAACGGCAGTACTCACTCCTGAATAAAACCTTACTCCGTCTCTAGATGGAACATCTGGGAAGGTGTTCCAAAGTGTTCTCATCTCTGAGGTTTGCTTTCCTTACTAGTCTAAGCAAGCCTGATTCTGCCAAGTTCCTGGCCACACTGGGAGGGTTGTCTCTCTTTTGAAGCATTTGAGGGAGTAGCTTAGATGTGCATGCATTTGAGGGTGGAGTGGACAGTTGGGTTTTGGGGATTTTCCTTCTACGCAGCAAACAGTTGTTCAGTTTTGCATAGGAACATTTTATGAAATGTGCCAAATAAACCCCCCATTTAGTACACAGAACAATAAACTCAGGCTGGATGACAATTACAAAGGGAGGGCCTGATCCTGCACTCTGCTTTATTTAGGCAGACCCTGGGACCAGGGTTGCCAACTGTCAGCAAATTCACAGTTAAAAAACCACAGAGCTTTGCCGTGGAGTTGCGGAGTCCCTCTTCCCTGGCTCCCGGACAAGCTCTGTACCATGGGGTAACTCCAGAGAGTCTACAATTCCCGGGGCAGGCACAGGGAGGGGAATTCTCATGGTGGGGGCTCCCTCCAATCTGTGACTGGTGCACGGGCGGGGGCTGCTAGTGAACTCTTTGGTGTCACTAGCCTCAGAACAGCAGCCACTTTTGGGGGGGGGTGCGTGCAGCACACACCCCTTCCAGGCTCCCCATGGCTGGTGTGGGCAGAGGATGGGGTACAATGGGCCGGGCATAGCAGCCTCTCACAGGCTCCCTGTCAGTAAGTCATAGCGGGGTGGCCACTTAAATAATAGAAATAAACCGAACACTCCTATGCTGGAAGGATTATTGACTGCCAGAAATGGATCTGGAGAAATTACTAAAGCAATGGTTGACAGGGTGACCGCTGCAAAGTCTGATCACAAACTGGAGAACTTGGGAGGATGCTGATGTGGCTAGTAAGTAGGTTAAACTAGTATAATAACATTGGTATTGTGACACATGAATAAAACCAATGAATATTGTTCACTATTATCCTTTTGAACCTCTTGATAATATCCTCTTGATATTACATAAGAATGTGCCTGTAAAAAGTTTGGCTGCCTATGATTTTTTCTATATTGTACATAAAATTCATTTTCAGCAGTTGCCAGCCTTGCCCTGGACTCAGAGGAGAACCCCAATGACTTCAATGGGACTGCACTTGAGCATACAGGTCTGCCTGCATGGATCAGATCCCCTAACTGGGGGCTTTACTACCAGTAGAGGTGCTTCTACACCAAGTAATTCCACTTCAATGCATAACGGGAAGCATTACCTCCAACAGCATTTACAAATTAAGGCCCAAAGCAGGTAGATGTGCCATCTTGGAATGAACAGGTGAATAACATCATAATTGCACTGGGAAAGTGAATGAGAACTATAATCAAATGATTATACTTGAACAAAATAAAGTTTACCCAGCACTTTGAGACTCTTTGACCCTGTATAGAAGGCCAGTGTTGCTCCTGAGAAGGTCCAGCTGTCCCTGAAAGAGACACACACAAATACTAGTAAGAGCTTCCCATTTACCTTTTGTTTACTGGCTAGTCAACTAGTCGCTTACATTCCTAACGCAGACCTGGTCACTTTGGCTAAGTCTACACTGTACACTATTTCGGGATACCGGAATATCACGAAATAGCTATCCCGCATCTTCACAGCAAGCCCATTATTTTGAAATATAACAGGCTCACTATTCTGATGTCCCTGTAAATCTAATTCCACAAGGAGTAAGGGATGTTTTGGAATAGCAGGTTATTTTGAAATTTAGTGCTGTGTAGACAGCGCCAAAATATGAACTAAGCTTCAAAATAAGATCGAAATAAGATATGTAATTTGCATTGATCAAATTGCGTATCTTATTTCGGGCTACGGTTCAGTGTAGACATAGCCTTTTAGAGCAGGATTCAAGATGTCCTGTCATTAAGGCTTTAACTATAATAGCAAGTTGTGGTCTAGTAATTTGTTAATCACCACTTCAAATCCTCTCAGGGAAACATTCTGTAGAGGAATGCAGGAAATATGGTCACCATTTTGGGCGGTTGGTTCCATTCTCGCATATGAATGGCGCTCAGTTATATTGGTTATGTGTGCCTTATAATAATAAGTGCAATTAAAACTATTTTAAATCAAAAGATCTGAGATAAGCCCATAAACTTTGACCTAACAATTGTAATCTAGTAAATACTGGGAGAAATCCTTAGCTCCACGATAGTCAATGGCAAAATTTCCTTTGATTTCCATCTGACCAGGATGTCAGCCTCCCTCTAAAAGCAGACACCAGTAGGTCCAGTAACAGTAGGTACATTTGTGGCTCTTTCCGGTTATCCCTATGTTACAGAACCATATCAATGTGGTTTGAGATGATGTAGTTACAGTAGTAAATGGAAACACACTGGTATTGCTGTGCTAGTGCCCAGGAGATTAATATACACGTGCCATCTCTGCAGTTACTCTATGCTGGTAATAGCTGATGACGTCTATGGAGTTCATGCACATGAAAGGTCTATGAGATCCCTCCAGCAGCACAAAGCTGGCCATACTGATGGAGAAGTGACCCTACCACGGAAAGCAGTCTGTTGATAGCCATGGCCCGCTGCTGGGGTTCCATGTGAGGCATGTCATTCTGGATCACTTGGTCGGTGATGCCGTGGGGGAACTGGTGGCACAGCTCAATGATCCTGAAGGCAAACAGGAGCAGAGTCAGGATACAAGACACTGGGGATGTACAATCCTGGTTAACCAATTAACCTTTCAGTTTAATCAGTTAATTGATTAAGCAGGATCCCAGGGGGAACTGTTCCAGCCCAGCTAGAGCAGCCCCCAGTCTGCGGGGCTGCCGGCACCTACTCCCGGCCCCTCTGTGCATGGAATTGCTGCTACCAACCCCTCCTTCCGATGCAGGGGGCTGGAGGAAGAGGCGAGTCAGTTTCTGCTCCGTGCTCCTGTGTTTTGGGTTGCTGCTCCCGGTTCCTTCACACACAGATCAACCAGCTCCCAACCCCCATGGGGTTGCTCCCGGTTACTGGTTAACCAGTACCTGATGAGTATCACCCAGAAACAGGTTACTCTTTCACATCCCTACAACACACAGCCCCACATTCAGC